ATTGATGCATTAATCGATTTAAATCTATCGCTATTTAGCCACCGATGCCATTTCTGGCCGCTATTTAGCTAATCGATTTAGATAATCGATTTTAATTATTATTTAAATAATTATATTAATATATTAGCGATCGAATATATTGGTCGCTATTTTTTAAAACTTTACCACTGGATTTAGTGACCGATTTAGCGATCACTTAATTTGGCCGCTATTTTGGTCTCCAATGAATAAGTGACCAAATTATTTAGCGACCACTTTAGCGACCACCAGATCGGTCGTTATTTAGCGACCAAAGTAAATCGGTCGCTAACAACTTAGCGACTTGCCCTTTTGCGACCAACCATTTCGGTCGCTAATTTCGGTCGCTAACAGAATAGCGACCGAATTTTGGCCATTAGCGACCGATTTTTTCGGTCGCTAAAAGCGATTTTTCTTGTAGTGTATTGTTATGGATATGTTTGCTTTGAATGATTTGGAATATTCTAGGACTTAATAAGGTTTTGATGTTTTAAAACTATTGTAAAATGTGAAGTTGGTGTAAAAATAACAAGGGTATGTTACAACTAATATATAAGTGACTTTTTTTTCTTCTTTTATTTTTTAAAAAATTGACATATAACATTGGTTTAACATAGAATTCATGCAATATATCCATTTTTTACATTAATTGATAACTTATATGAAAAAATTTATATTTTTTACACACATAAATTGGTTCTTTAGTTAATATAAAATACCTAAAACAATTTATATAAAAAGTATTTTTTTTCTAATAGTATTAATTTTATTTCCTCCTTCACATCTTGTGAATAAGTTCTTTAATCAATATAAAATACCTAAAACAATTTTTGTAAAATGTCTTTTTTGTTGGAAAAGTACAAGCCACATGTCTTTGACTCTATTCTAAGTTATGATGTCTTTCATTTTTTATTTTTTTTAATGCATTTACAATGACTAAATCATATAGTTTTTTATTATTTGTGTGTGTATACGTCTTATGTCTAACTTTGAAACATTAAGTCTTGAATGAAAGAAAGATAAGACTTGGGAAATTGCAAGTACGTTTAAAGATACGAAAAAAATAATAATTACATGTTAACATAATATGATAATAATCGATTGAGAATTCTCTTAGTGACATTTTTTATTAAAAGTGACATTCGTCGTAGAAAATAGATGAATTTTATACCATATCGATTTTTAGTAAGTTTTTATCATGGACCGATCTAATTTTTCATAACTTTATGAAAAATATATAAGGTTGATATATTTTTTTAATATGTTCAATATTAAAAATGAGACAATTACTGTGATAAACTTAAGTTAAAATAAGTTTTATATGAGATTAAAATAAAGTGACAAAAGTACCTAAATAGGGTAATTTTTTATAATTACTGATTTAAACATCTTATAAAAATATTATGTAAATGGGAAAGTTACAACTTCATAATAATAAAAAAAATCATATTCTTAAAACAACATTTTTATTTTTTAAAGTTTCAAATTATTAAAATCATATTTTAAAACACGATTTGGTGTTTTATTTTAATTTATTAATGTTTTAGCTCCAACTTTTTATTTTGTCTGGTAGTGAACTTGCGCGTAAATGCATAATTTCACTTTTTTTTTAAGATTTATATTTTATGTTTTTATTTTATTATTATAATAATAAAATAATAAATATTAAAACTATTGTAATAATAATACATAAAATTTAAACTTTAAAATGAAAAAAAAGTGAAGTAGTATATAAAAGTATGACTTAAAAATAATTCAATTAAAAAAATTTCTGAAGTGGAACAATGAAACACGGACTTCGGTGTTTGAACTTACAAAAAATAGAAGTCAGTATTTGGAAATATGACTGTTTATTAATTAAGAAGGAATGTTTTCAAGTAAGACTTATCTCATTTATTAACTTTTAAAAAAAATATTAACATCGAAATTATATTTTTGAGTGATTTTTTTTATAATAGATAAGAAATAAAAAGGTGTTGTGACTTTTTACTCTTGTATAAAATATTTTAACCAAAGACAGCATAAATTAAGTGTTCACTTTACATTACATTTCTCTTTATTTTAGAGAAACTTTTTTTCTTCATTTGTTTCCACTTGTTCTATTGTGAGTTTCACAAAACTAACTTTCTACAAGACAAAAGAGGAGACACAAGGAAACTAATTGATAGCTTTTGGTCATCAAAGTTTCTTTTTGTTTACTTCCATACACTTTTGCTCGCTCTTTATCTCCATCCCTCAATTTTATTTTCTACCTGATCATGAGGCAGATTTATCAAAGGTGGAAATTTTTATCATAGAATCTCTCCCACCAAATCATTTTCGTTCAACTTCACCTCCTTCTGCCACAATTTCATCGTCGCCGCTACATTCCCGTTGTCGCCGCCGTCATTCTCCCCGGCTACTGTCTCGCTCCTGCTGTCGTCGAGGAAGGGAGGTCACCAAAGTCGTTGTGGGGGGAGTTGCGGATAGGGTTAAAGCGAGAGGAAGGGGAAGTGATGGAGCAGATCTCAGATCTGAAAAAACTAAAAAAATAAAAAATAAAAATTGGATGATTCCAAGGGATTGTAGGTTGAGAACTTCATTCGCCAGAAAAAACAAGTTGAGTGTAGGGATCATAATCGTTGAGGTCGAGATTGATTCAAATGTTAAAACTTATTATTCTTCGTCTTTTCATTCCCATTTCGTTCTTTATTGTAAGGGTATATACATAGTAAAAGATATTTTTTTTTCCTGCCACATGCATCTTGATAGTCTATCAGATACAGAAAAAAAATTAAGGAATAAACAATTTTAAATTAAAATAACAAACAGTGTGACAAAAGATTAAACTAAATCACATAAATCTATTTGATAAAAGACAATAAATGAATCCAACTTTCATTCTATGACATAGAATTTTGTGTTCTATCAGCTTAATAACCCTACTTTTGTCACAAGCCAGCGTAATCTAGCTGGATGTTCTATGCCATAGAATGAATGGAAAGAATTCCATATACATGTAGACCAAAAAAATAAAATAAAGTATGTTCAATTAACATTTAATAGTTCTTTGTGAGGCTAATTTATAAAAAACACATACTACAATTTCAGTGATTGCAATTCACCAAAGAAGTAGAGAAGACAATGATGTTTTCTCTTTGCTGAAACGAAAACTTTGATGCTCCTTGATCTTCATCTGGTGCTGGAAGATTCAAGTCCAAATTCAAGGGTTTCTTAGCTTCTAGATATTCTTGGCTACCACCACCATCACCACTCATAGACGTTGTTGAAGAAGTGTTCACAAGATTTCTATGGCGCCTCATGTGGCCTCCCAAGGCTTGCCCAGATGAGAATTCAGCACCACAGGTGGAACACAGGTGAACTCTTGCTTTTGTCGCGGCGACAGTGCTGGTGCTGGTCAAAATATCAACCCTATTATTTGGTGTTTTCAACGAGAGAGTGGTGCTTGTCGGGGGATCATTCTCTCCAATACAAGTAGTAGTAACTGCTTCTGCAACAGTGTTGTTGTGGTTGGGCTTCCTGTGGCTGGTTCTGTGTCCTCCAAGTGATTGGAATGAAGGGAAGCATTTGCTGCAAGTCTTGCACTGGAAGACTCGTGGGTTTGTTGACTTTTTGTTGTTGATGATTTGATCTGATGTCGATGCTGCCACGTGGTTTGTTCCTTGAGCTAGGAGAATGAGACAATTCGCCATGTCTTCTTCTTCTATTGATTCAACTGGGGTGGTGGTGGTGGTTGAGTTTGTGGCACTATCAATGGAATTGTTAGTGCTAGTAGAGGTTGAAGTAGGCATGGCAAACCTAAGAGGGGATGGTGCTCTTTGACGCTTGTTGCGCTTGCCTTTGATCATCATCTGAAACTTGGAAACCACTTGCAATTCCTCTTGAGTCTGCATGTTGCTGTTGTTGTTGTTGTGATATTGTGGTGTGTGAAGAATGCAAGAGAGTGATGTTAGTATATATTGGTGGTTGGTGTGAGGGGAAAGGTTTCAGGAAGAGGCAAAAGGCACATCCCGTGACTTGAAGGTACACAACCGTGTTTTGGCTTGGAAATTATAGATATAGGAAAATATTAATGTATTAGAAGATTGTGAAGTGTATAATAGATCAGATTGAGAGAGAGAGAGAGATGCAATGTGAAGTATGAGGAGGTGAGGCAAGGAGTGAGATTCGGTTGGCTTTGAAGCAAACCCATTACTTTTTCTCAACGATTCCTTTCTGGAGGATTGGTTTGCAAGCCTGGAACCACACAGAATTTGGAACTTTCACCTCACTTTTTTTTATCTCCTTTTTAATTATTTCCCTTTCTTCTAGTGTTTCTATTCATTCTTAATATGTAGCTAGCCAGCTACCTACCTAGCTTCCTTGGTTTGTTGTTCATGTACAGCATTTTCTAAACTAATTTGCACCCAATGGAATTAATGATTAGTAATTAATAATGAGTTAACAATATGCGTGGAAATATACTAGGGTAGGACATGATCCTTATGACTTGTGATGCGAGATTATCCTGTACTATTAAATATTATTTTAGCTTGTTGCAGGCATGAGTTTATGATTATTAGTAGCTACATGCAGTTGCTGAGAAGGGGAATTCATGTGCAGTTGACCCCAACCACTTGTTTTGTACAATTGTCACTGCTTCAATGGACAATAATATCCAACAATCACGCCGCATATATATGCATGACCATAATTATGTGATTCATATTTCATAGTCTTTGCCAATCATTTGGTGTCGGTAAAAAGCACTCTATAGTTTATCTATAGAGCATCATCACCCTGTCTTCTGTCCTAATTGCTACTACCATCAATTAATACACAATCCTCGTTATTTCTTTCACACACCAAGAACCTTAGGATATTTATCTTACAAATAGTCAACTTTCCTCTCCTTAAGTTAATTTGAACCTACAACTTTATAAAACAACTATTATAGTATATCAGTAACACTTATTTATCAGTAACTATAGTTGAAATATTGAAGCTATAGTGGAAGACTTTAAAGGCCTAATATAGCATCTTTAGAATGAAAACCATATTAATGAAGAAAATGAAAAGAAAAAGGTAGTGGAGTATACGTGCATGGACGGTGGGTATGACGTAGGGTAATGAATTGGTGGTGTAAGGTATAGAGTATATGGATATAAGAGGGTAAGAGAGAGATTCTTAGCGTAAGGAATTGTAATGGAATGGAGGGTTTGTGAGGGGCACTTAACAGCAACGCCAGCATCAGCTCTACGTTGGCTGCAGTTACTGCCTTAAAGCAAAGCATCTTCTTCACTGCTAAATAATCTCAATCAAGCAGTTCACAATTACAGTGGGTTTAACAAAAAAACAGTGCAAGAATTAATGGTTACTGATGAAATTCTATAAATAGGATAATATTATATTTTTCTGAACCAATTTTATAGTTAGATATGTTATTTATAACACTAACTCAGCTACCTTCTCTTAACTTAGAACTAATATATGAATGATTAGATGATAATTTTGTTATTGAGGGAACATGTCTGACAAGACACAAGGCGAGTTTGATGGTGAGAATACCATTTATAACACCAACATGTATCCAAGTCAGTGTGTGATATTCCACTTCACATGCATATTCTTGCAGGTGTGTATGGTCTTCAGAATTTATAAGTTACAATTAAAACATTTTTTTATTATAAATGCTTAAATACATTTTTATCCTTTATTTATAATTTTAGTTTTTATTTTTTTTTATCTTGTTAAAAAAAACTTTAATATGTTATTACAAATCAATTAGTTATTGATATGTTATCATAAACTGAAAATTAATTCAACTAATATAATTTTATTAACGTAACAAATTAGTAAAATCTAACCATCAACGTGATAAATTTTTATAGTATGTGACATTTTATTTGAACAAAAAAAAACAATAATTTAAATTTATCGTTAAACTAATATAAAAAAATGTTATCAATTATATTATAATATATATATATATATATATATATATATATATATATATATATATATATATATATATATAAAAGGTCCCTTTTCTTCTGTATGTTCTGGGCCATTACATCTCACAACGAGGCCCAAATTTAATAAAATCAATCCAAATACTTTGAGTTGATTATTCTCTATGTTTGAGTTAAATTCAAGTCAACCCTCATCAACCTCATGTTCATTCAATTAGGTATAATTGAATTTTGGTGCTAATCCTATGAACTCAACAAAACAAATTAATTATTTATAATATTTTTAAATATATTTTATTAAAAACAAAAATTGAAAAAAAAAAACACATACATTAAATACCTTTTGTTGTTGTTGTCTTTCTTTTTCTTTTTTCAATTCACTATAACAAGCATTCCTTACATCCTCTCTTACCTCTACATAAGTTCTTTCTCATTTTGAATTTAAGTACTGGTTTAAATTGCTTAAATTTAGTATTTATTAAAAAATAATGTATATATATATATATATATATATATATATATATATATATATATATTGACTAAATCTAATAACTTCATCAGTAATAATTAAGTTTAGATTAAAAAAAATTCTACCAAATCCCATCAACGTCCTTGTTTGATCTTATATAATAAGAATTTTACAAAAACTAATATAATTTCTTTTTGAAATTCCCAAAACATATTAAAATTGTAAAAAAATGATGAAAGGGATAAATCGTAATTAAAAATAAGACTTCGTTTTACAAAAATCATGTTCACAAAAACGAATTGATTTTTTTAAAATAAAATTAATTCATCATTAAAATAAAAATCAGTTTAATAATAAAAATAATAATTTGAATCAAGAAACATGACTTCAATTTAACTTTAAATTTTTTAACACGACGAATTTTCACAGAACTCACGTTATAGAACACCATGTAATACTTGCAACGAATTGGGTGCAGCTTCAGCTCAACAAATTGTATTAGAAATGAGATATTTTATTATTAATTCGTAACTAAAATTGATAATTTACCATAACTGTGAAATTATTCATCGTTATCTTGACCTTTTCCTTTTAAAAAAATAGCACATGTAAAATACTTTTTACTAATATTATCATTTCTACCCACGTTTTATTTATTTATTTTCCAAATTCGACAAAACAATTACACCACCAATATTTCTAATTGTATATGTGGATTGAGTTACGTATATCCCAAATCTATATTTATAGGATAAATTATATCATCTTTTCTTAAATTATTAGGGAAAATTGTAATTATTTTTTTCAAAACATGTTAAACAACATTTATATTTTTTATAATTGCAAATAGATATGCATCTCTTTTATATTTTTAATAAAATAACACTCACACATGTTATATAATAGTTCAGCAATTTTGTTATAATGATGATTTTAGTTAGGTTGTTGTATTTATATAATTTATTATATATATATATATATATATATATATATATTATTATTCTTTATTTGTTATGGATTAACATTAATCAATAAATTAAATATTTGTAATTATCAATTATATTACACATTATCATTATTTTATGAATAATAATTTAATTTTGGTTTTCGATGAATGGTCCGTGATGGGTTTGATTGTTCATAATCAGTTACTCTTTGAGAGATCCTTGGTCTCTACTGATAGGTGTATAAAACTGATACCCCATTAGCCAATTTTGGGTGTGACAACATAAAAACCACTTTACACAATACGTTCAAGAGTAACCTATCAGGAAGAGAGCAATATTATCTCATACACGCTCTATGGATCCTTTAATAATTCCGGGTATAAAATTTTTCTACTCTTTTGAATATAGTATATTTATTGTATCTTATAATGTTATGTATTTAAACAATTGGTATCGAGCTTCTAAGATACATAATATAATTGTTCATTATTTTAAAAGAGTGTATCATAAATTTTAATAATTTTTTATTATCAAAAGGCATGAAAATTGGTAAATTTAACTTTCTCGTTTGAATTCAAATTCATTGATTAAGGAGTGAATTTCAAAATTCCTTTCTGGGCCAGTTGAAATTGTGATTAGAACTCTAATTAAATAAAATTCCCAATTTTCATCAACCCTAATTTTTCAATTTAAACTCTTTTGAATTCCCAATTTTCATCAACCCTAATTTTTCAATTTAAACTCTTTTGAATCCCCAATTTTCATCAACCCTAATTTTTCAATTTGAACTCTTTTGAACCCTCTGACCGAACCCAAATTTTGAAACCCCTTTCTGCAACAATTCCGGTCACATTCCTGAATCAAGGATTTTCTGGATTGTTCGCTCTCGCGCCAGTCACCAGTAATGGTTTTCTCATGGCGGTGCAACAACGAAAGGGTGTTGCGGTGGTTGTTCACAGCGGTGGAGAAACGACGTTTGAGCCGCTGCCTGGTGGCACAAAGTGGTTTGTCACGGCGCTGGTCTCTCCGTCATGGTGGCACGCAGCGATCTGCATTGGTCACTTCGTCGAGACGTGCGTTGTCTTCTCTTGGAGGCACGTCTGGTTCTCATAGTGGTGGGCTGTTTGTTCATGGTGGATCTGTGTTTTGTGCCACTGATTAACAGTGGCGATGTCGTAGTGGTGATCAACGGTGCACGTTTTCAGCGATTAAGCACGTTTTTAGCGACTAAACGACGTAATTCGCTGTGTTCGTACATGTGCAGTTCCAGTTCCATGGACATGGTTTTGCACGTTGTGTTGTGTATGAGTGGGCGTGGAAGAGAATTCAATGTTAAATTCAAATAATATATTATTTTGTTTTTATAAAATTATATATATAATAATAAGAAAAGATGAATATGAAAACAAATGGTATTATTATGTTTTTCTTAAATTTTTTATTATGAAGAAAATTGGATCACGAGGTTATGTGAATGGGCTCATGCATATTGCTAGGCTCGAGAAAGTCCCCGGCCTGATCCGTAGAAATGCGGACCCTTAAAGGGGTACTTTTGACTTTAGGACTTGTCTTTGGTCTTTGGACTGAAGGGACTGAGACACATGTGAGCCTTATCTTGTCCATCGAAGAACTTATTAAAATAAATAATTATTATTATTATTATTAATTCATGCATCATATAATTTTTTATTTTTTTTCTTTTGTTAAGCATAATATAATTTTATATGATTGTAAACTCACCTATCGTGGGTATAATTGTATAAAATTTTGTGAACATAAAATAATTTAATTATTTAATTTAATTTTATATTACATTAATATTAATTATGCCCTATCAGTATTTTATTGTTAATGAATTTTTTTACAATGTAATTTTAAATTTTATTATGTCAATTATTTGTCTTGTACCCTATCGGTATTATATTTCTTGTGACATGAGATGTGCATTGTATTCTTATTTTTATTTTAATTATATTTCTTATTTATTATGACTCTGGACCCTTAGGCTGGGTCATAGTGAATGAGAAATTTGATATTATAGGCATGTTTTGTTGTGTATTCAGAGACATTTATTTTGTTTATTTGCACAATAATTGTGCGTATTAAATGTTTCTTCGTTATTTTGATACCAACTTCTTTGCCTATGGAATTGACTTCGGTCAAAACTTTAAATGGGACAAGTTTTGAGGATTGGAAAGAATCTCTGGATTTGTATTTGGCAATTACCAATATGGACATTTGTTTGAGAGAGAACGAGGCTCCAGCTCTTACCCCTGAGTCCACTACTGTCCAAAGAGCTTCTCGTGAGAAATGGGAACACTCAAATAGGGTGTGTTTGATGGTGATGAAATACACCATGGAGAAGTCTATTTCGAAAAAACATTCCAGATGATGATAATGCTAAGGTTTTTCTGAGATCAGTGGGTGAGAAGTTTAAGACTTTTGACAAAGCTCAAAATGCTCAATATCTGTCACTTCTTGAGAAGACCAAATATGATGGTGTCAGTGGTGTTCGTGAGCATATGATGAAGCTTGTGCACTATTATAACAAACTCAAATCTTTAAAGGTAGAGCTTGGTGACAGTTTTTTGATCTGGCAGGTTATGGAATCACTTCCTTCTCAGTTTGATGTGTTGAAGACTTCTTACAATGCTCAGAAGGAGGAATGGACAATTGATGAGATGATAGCTATTATTTTCCAAGAGGAAGAATCTATTAAAAAATCCAAGCCGCATAGTGTGCAATTCACAACTATTACTTCAGGTACTAAACCTGTTAAAAAGGGTTTCAAAGGCAAATCTCGCCATGAAAAGAGGAACACAGGGAAAGCATCAGTAGGTTTGGAGCCTAAGAAGAAGCACTTTAAGGGGAATTGTGCCTATTGTAAGAAATTTGGGCATAAGCTAACTGACTGTTATATTCTCAAGAAGAAGAATGCTGATAAGGAAGGTAAGCACATGTATGTTCTAACTTGTTTTGAATCCAATGTTGTTGATGTTCCTCCCAATTCTTGGTGGTTTGACTCGGGTGCTACTATTCATGTTGTGAATTCTTTACAGGGGTTCACAAGCCTGAGAAAACCAAGTGACTTTGAATCCAAGATTATCGTGGGAGATGGAGCTAGAGCACAAGTTGAAGACATAGGAGTAGTGTCTTTAAATTTACCTTCTGGACATGTTTTGTTATCGAAAGAAGTTGTTTATGTACCTTCTATGCGAAGGAATTTAATTTCAGTTTCAACTTTGGATAAATGTGGCTACACTTTTGAATTTGGCAATGGCAAACTTGCTATTTATTTCAATTCAATTATTGTTGGCTTATGAGTTTTATGTGATGGACTTTACATGTTAAATCTGAATGACATGTCTATTAATTCTATTATTGGACATAAGCGTAGTAAAGTTGATGAAAATTCCTCTATGTTGTGGCATAGACGTCTGGGGCATATTTCTAGACCTCGGATTGAGAGGTTGATTAAAGAGGGTATTCTGCATGATTTGAATTTTTCTGATTTTGATACTTGTGTTGATTGCATTAAGGGCAAGCTTACTGCAAAATTAAGAAATGCAGATGCAAACAGGTGTGATGATCTGTTGCAACTTAGTCATACTGATATGTGTGGACCTATGACACCCATTTCCATGGGTGGATACAGGTATTTTATCACGTTTATAGACGATTATTCCAAATTTGGATGGATAGATCTCCTACAAGAAAATTCAAGTTCCTTGGATGTTTTTAAGTCCTTCAAAGCTGCTATTGAGTTGAAAACTGGAAAGAAGATAAAATGTGTAAGGTCTGACAGAGGTGGAGAGTATTATGACAGATATGATGAGACTGGAAGAAATCCATGACCTTTTGCTAGATTTCTTAATGAATGTGGTATTGAAGCTCAGTATATTATGCCTGATACTCCTCAGCAAAATGGTGTTGCAGAAAGGAGGAATCACACTCTTCTAGATATGGTGAGATGTATGTTGAGTCATTCCTCTTTACCAAATTTTCTTTGGGGAGATGCTTTAAGGACTGCTGTGTATATTCTTAATCAAGTACCTAACAAGTCTGTTTCAAAGAATCCTTATGAGCTTATGACTGGGAAGAAGCCAAGTTTAAGACACTTTCATGTGTGGGGTTGTAAGGCATAGGTGAGAACTTATAATCCTCAGTTGAAAAAACTTGATCTTAAGACTGTCAGTGGATTCTTCATTGGCTATTGTATCGATTCTCGTGGTAGCAGATTTTACTGCCCTTCTCACTCTATCCGGGTTATTGAGTCTGACCGTGCGATATTCTTTGAGGATGATTTGGAAAGTGGGAGCAATGCGCCACAACCAGTCACTCTTAGAGAAGACCGTGTTGTTGTTCCCGTACCATCCATTTTTTTTCCTGCAGATAATGTGATTCCAGTTGTCCGTGATGAAAATGATTCTGTTCCAGATTTTGTTGATGCTACATCACATGTAGTAGATGAACAAGTTCATGATGATGTGACTGAAGAGGTTCCTTTGAGGAGATCTCAAAGATTACGCAAGTCTTCTATACCTGATGATTATCAGGTGTATCTTCAAGAGCATGAATATGATCTTAATGATGTTGATGATCCTACTACTTTTAAAGAGGCTATCTCTAGTTCTCATGGTTATGATTGGTTAAATGCTATGCATGCTGAGTTAGCTTCTATGGCCCATAATGGAGTTTGGGATCTTGTGGATTTGCCACTCGGTTGCAAACCAGTTGGGTGTAAATGGGTCTTCAAGACTAAGCGTGATCCAGATGGAAAAGTTGAGAGATAAAAAGTCAGACTTGTAGCAAAAGGTTATAGTCAGAGGGATGACATTGATTATAAAGAGACTTTCTCACCGGTCTCTACTAAGGATGTTTTTTGTGTGGTTATGGCTTTAGTAGCTCATTTTGATTTGGAGCTTCATCAAATGGATATCAAAACAGATTTTCTTAATGGAGATTTATTTGAGGAAGTGTATATGATTCAAACTTATAATTTTGCTAAAAAAGGCAATGAGCATTTGGTTTGCAAGTTAAAAAAATCTATTTATGGGCTGAAACAAGCTTCTAGACAATAGTATTTGAAATTTGACCAGGTGGTCACTTCTTTTAGCTTCAAGGAAAACGCCTCGGATCAATGCATTTACTTGAAGAAAAATGAGAGTCATTTCATCATTCTTGTCTTATATGTTAATGATATTCTTCTTGCGAGTAGCAATGTTGAACTTTTGGCTGAGACAAAGTTTATGTTAAATAGCCATTTTGATATGAAGGACCTTGGTGATGCCTCTGTTGTTCTGGGCATTCAAATTTTTCATGACAGGTCACGTGGCATTCTTGGATTGTCTCAAAGAGAATATATTGATAAAGTCCTCAAACAGTTTAACATGCATTCTTGCTCCTCATGTGTAGCACCTGTTCAAAAAGGTGATAAACTCTCTAAATCTCAATGTCCTAAAAATGATAATGATAGAATTGAAATGGAAAAAATTCCATATGCTTCCATTGTTGGTAGTTTAATGTATGCTCAAGTTTGTACTCGTCCCGATATTGCTTTTGCTGTTAATTTTTTAGGAAGATACTTGAGCAACCCGGGTTTGGGTCATTGGAAAGCCGTTAAAAAGGTCTTTAGATATTTGCAGGGAACTAAGGATTACATGTTGACCTATAAGAAGTCTGATCAACTTCAAGTCATTGGTTATTTTGATTCTAATTTTGCTGGTTGTCCTGATGATAGAAAATCTACTTCTAGCTTTATATTTAAGTTGGCAAAAGGAGCTATTTCTTGGAAGAGTGTTAAACAAAATCTTATAGCTACTTACTTCTACTATGGAGGTAGAATATGTTGCTTGTTATGAAGCTACTTGTCAAGCTGTGTGGCTTAAAAATTTGATTTCTGGCTTAAAAATTGTTGAGAGTATTTCTAGGCCACTTGTGATATATTGTGACAACACTGTTGCCATACATTTTTCTCAAAACAACAGAAGTTCTACTCGCTCAAAACATTTTCATATAAAATTTTTGTTTGTTAGAGAGAAAGTTTTGGATTTTCAAACTCGAATTGAATATACTGCTACAGAAAATATCTTAGCTTATCCACTGACTAAAGGCTTAACTATTGGAGTTTTTCAAAATCATGTAACTCATATGGGTGTCGTT